AGAGAGTGTGTGTGTGTGTGTGTGTGTGTGTGTGACTGCAGCGGTGGTGAAGGGCTGCATGTATGACGCTGAGGAAGATCCACCATCATCCGCCCGTTTGGCCGCGCTGGGAATTCTGTGTTTTCCCGGGAATGTCGCGGGCGTTCGCTGACGGTAAGCCGTTATTAAGCTGTAGGGAAGGGCGCGCGCGCGTGTGTGTGTGTGTGTGAGAGAGAGCAGAATCAAAGTGAACGGGCTCTTAGCTCTCGGGCTAACATTAGCTGGCCACCGCCGCTGTCCCGGATCTGCACGCGCGGTTCTCCAGCATCGCTCGTCATGTGAACGGTAAGGATGCGTGTGTGCACAACTAACGTTCAGTTGCTCGTTGAGAGGTCGGTGGAAATGCAGCGCTGCTTCCGTGTGTTCGCGAATGTTTTTTCTCAGTCCAGCTCCACTCTGCCGCTAATACTGAAAATTACGTAATGCATACTGAATGAATCTGAGATCTGAAGCATGCAGGGCCTGTGGTGTGTGCATGTGTGCATTTACTGCAGAACGCAGGATTATATCTGTATGCAGGTGTATAGAGTGTGTGATCAGATCTCGTCCGTCTAATTCAGTGTGAACGGTGTCAGAAATAAACGTCTGTTATCAGGGACGTTTGTCCCTTGAAAGAATTTTCTGAGGCATTTCCACCTGCATCATGAAAACATACAGTGTGTGTAACATTGCACAAGATTTCATAACTGCAGATATTCAGATTTCACAATCAATATCTGGCACATTCTGACCCTGCATGTAGTCAACATATGTGTGTTTGTGGTGATCTATCATGTTTCCTTCTTAAATGACCTTAAAAAAAGATACATTAGATATCAGTGTTGTTGTTTTTGAATATGTGTTGTTTTCAAAATATACCTATATTCAAAATGCAACATCTGAAAGAGGTTTTAATTTCTTTATATTTTACAACGTAACTTTTGTGCCTTGAATCAGATTTACAACCACATTTTGGCATTTATATTTACTGCCTTGATATAAAATTTGACCAATAATGTCAAAACAGAGTAAAAGCAGAACTGCGGGCACTGAAATCAAGTCTGATCAGCCTGACAGAGGAGTCTGGAGATCTGTGAAGCTTTCATGTGTGTCCTGTTTAAAGTGACAGGTTCTGATCACAGGTGTGTGTTCATCATGTAAAGCTGTCAGAGCGTCTGTGCGCGTCACACCTGTGCAGGTGAATGGGTGTTTACTCAGTCATAAACACTGTGCTGCGTGAGGAAGGTACAGCGAGCTTCTTTCAGGTTTTGCAGTGGATCTTCAGATCTTTGGCTGGTGAATGTGAAATCGAACAGGTGCTGTGAATGTGTTTGAGGCTGGTCAGGTTCACAGGTGCTTGTTCAAACAGCTTTAAGGGACTTCAGAAATGCTCTGAACTCGGTGTAACGTCGCAGTGTCATGTTTTGCTGTTTTTGTGTGGTTTGAATCACTGATGGTTCATCGAGACATTGTTAGCTCTTTCCTGAAATGACAGGTTGATTTGTGACTCTTGTGTGCATGTGTTGGTGTTCATCATGTCATCTCATGGAGGGCTATGCTTTATCGTGTTTCAGTGCTCAGTCTTTGTCTACAGCAGCGTTCAGAAGCACACCCGCCATCTCAGATGTCTGATTTTACTACAATTTTCCTATTATCAGCCGTCATGTCCGTTATCAGCCAGAGCGAAAGTAGTTAGCCGCTTTCAGTGTGAGCCGCAGATATTTGCATCCCTGAGTTTAATCAGAAGCTCCTCTTTCACAGGTGTGTCACACGACTTTCAGACAGAAGTGTTTTTCCTGCGTTGTGTTGTGGTTTTCTTGCGCTCGTGCGTCCGTCTGTGTGCTGTTGGGAAGATGCACTATTATTTTTGAATTAGTCAGATGCGAACACAATGAGTCGCAGGCTTCTGGCTGTTATTGTTATTGTGCACGTGTGTTTGCTTCGGGTCGACTGACTGCTGGCGCTCTGTCTTCACACATTCAGTGTGTTTTGGCTTCATTCGTCTCTCTCTCTCTCTCTGTGTTTCTTCACAGGATCCGAGATGTCGCTCGCCCCTTAAATCACTTTCTGCACCACCGGTGAGTTTGTGCTTGATTCCTCTTTCTTCAGCATGTCTCACACTCCGACGCTTTATTAACTTTATTGAGTTTCATTTAAACAGTGTTGTTTTAGGATCTTCGATCAGCAGATGGTTCCTGCTTTCAGGCTGGTTTAGGTCAAAGCTGCAGCTGGTGACTAGCAGTAGTTCACAGCCTGACCACAGTTTTACTGCTAACCAATCACACTTAAACCTGCTGTGTTAGTGGCACAAAGGTCGTCAGTTTATCTAACTTTCATTAATTTAGCAATGTTCTCAAACTATCGCTCTGTCCTGAGCTGAAGGAGTAGTTTACACTAACGCTTCTACAGTGTCTTGCCATAATCTTCATTCTCATACTTGAGCACTAGGATACTTGTATCTAGTATGATATTTCCTGATTTTAATTGTTATTTTGATGAGCCGATACTGATACCTCAATCCCAATCTCAGATTTTAATCTGTGCTGTTTTCAGTCGATGCGTGAACAAAACTTCACTAAACTTTATTTGTAGCTCCTGCCATCCAGTAATCACAATAATCGTTGTGCTTGGTTAGTTATCAAACAAAGTCTCAGCTTTTAAATTCTGACCGTTTTATCACAAAATACAGTCACTGAATGTGGCTTTGCTGCTCTTTAATGTGTGCTGACACTAGTGTTAATTTTGTCAGCCATTTTTTATTTAGTCTTAGTCTTAGTTCTGCGGCAGGTGTATTTTTTAGTTATTATCATATTTAGTCAAGCTCGTCCTGCTTGTGTTTAGTCAAGTTTTAGTCGACTAAATGTCTGAGCATTAGTCAGTGAAGACTTTTCGTCACATTTTCATTATGCTGTATAATAGTTAAACTGATAAAAATTATGTTTATTTTAAATTATAATCTATAAGATTGTTGTCATTTGAGAAATGTATTTTTCCATTTCAGGTATTGCACTTCCACCAATAAGCACAAATCAACAGAATGTGGACTTTATTTGACCTCATCTAGTGTACTGATTTAGTACAGGCTATATTTAATATATAAATTAATATCAAAGACTTAGATATGCACTCTCTCTGCCTACATTATGAAAACTGGCAAAAACAAGCAATTTGGACATGGTTGCCAGATTGCAAAAAATAAACAAAACACCGGGCAGAAAATGTATGATTTTAACAGAGAAGCTCTGATTGGGGGATTTGAACTCTTGGTATCTGGCAACCGCACACATGAAAGCTCGTGTAGAGGCGTGTACAACAGTCCAATAATATTTTGTCTTCTTTTTTTCAACGAAAATTAAAATACATTTTGGTATAGTTTTTATTTTTTTAAATACATTTTAGTCTCGTCTTTTATCATCAACGATATTGCATGTTGATCTAGTCACAGTTATCATTTATTGACCTTACTGTCGTCTCGTCATCGTCTCGTCTTAGTCATGGGAAAAAAGCTGGTCAATGAACATTTTTCGTCACAGTTTTCGTTAACGACATGAACACTAGCACAGATGGCTGCAGTGGAGCGATCATCTCTTTACTGCTAGTTCCAGCAGAAAATCAAATCAGCATGAAATCAATCATGAATCCATCAATCACTGATTCAACCGCCATAAAACAGCTAGAGATCAATAATGTCACATTTACCTCCAGTCATAAGGGTCAGTTTTATGAAATTGAGGTTTATGCATCATCTGAAAGCTGCATAAATAATATTTCCATTGATGTATGGTTTGTTAGGATCGGACAATATTTGTCTGAGATACAACTATTTGAAAATCTGGAATCTGAGGGTGCAAAAAAATCTAAATATTGAGAAAATCATCTTTAAAGTTGTTCAAATGAAGTTCTTAGCAATGCATATTACTAATCAAATATTAAGTTTTGATATATTTACGGTAGGACATTTACATAATATCTTCATGGAACATGATCTTTACTTAATATCCTGATAAGGATATGCCGGTGTCAAATTTTCATGTTGCGATTAATTGCTAATGCTTTTATCACAGTATACGGTATTATCACGATATTGAAATTTTGTTTTAAAAAAAGTGCTGTCATAATACAGTATAACAGGTTTAATAACTTTTTTCTTATAACAAAAATAACTGAACATTTAAATGCAATAAAGCAATACAGAAAAATGTATAAAGTTAAAAGTTTTACACGGGGTAACGGCTGCATTTAAATGAATTATTATTATTATTATTATTATTATTATTTCTGCAGTTTAGCGCCATCTGCTGTCAGAGAGTGAAAGTGCGCGTTCATCCAGAGCGTCTCTCACATGTTCCGCCATGTGCTTCTCGTCCGTGCTTGTTTACATCAGAGTGCGCACGCGTCTTTCACGCAGCATACAGCAGTGTTGTGCATTTTGACCAGTTGATGGGAAAAGTATTCTTAAAATGCATTCAAAATTCTGAATAATTTGTAATATATAATTATTCACGGTATTTAGAAGTGCCCACGATAACAATATTGTGCATATTCATTACCGTGATATATCGCATTACCGAATACCGGCACAAGTCTATATCCTAATGATTTTTGGCATAAAAGAAAAATGTATAATTTTGACCCATACAATGTATTGTTGGCTATTGCTACAAATATACCCCAGCGACTTAAGACTGCTTTTGTGCTGCAGGGCCACATTTGGACATTTGATTTGCGTGTTGATTATTATATATGAAGCTGAGCGTAATAGTTTGTTAATTTCAAACTTTAATACAATAGTGATGTATGAACTGACCGAGTTCTCTGTATAGTTCAGCACTTTAGTTGAGATTTCGTTTTCCTTAAATGTTTCCAAGTGAATGGATATTGAGAGCTTGAGAATCGGACTTGGATCTTGACATCTGTGTTATGTCTGGATCTTGAGTGTGTTTCAGTCATTGTTACTATTAATGACTGGACGGAGTGAATTAGTGCGTCCTGAAGCGATTACTGCGCCCCCCCGCCGGCCCGAGATCTCCCAGCATGCCGTGTTCCTGCGAGCGTCTCTGTAGAACAGCCAGCTGAAGCATCAGGGTTCCTGGATGACGAGCTTCGGCTAAAAATAGCGGCGAACAGAGCGAAGCCGGAGCTATTACTGCTCTTTCTAATTGCAGCCCCCTGTGAAAAACGTTCAGTCACGGCACTGCTGGGAGCACTTCCAATTAACCCGTCGACCTTTGTGCTAGAGCTCAGAACGTGACTTCTGAAGGCTTGTTAATTCACTAGTATGTAATCATCTGTTTCATTGGTCATGTGACTGCGTCAGGTGATCAAGGGTCAATCACCTTCATTTCTATAGTGCTTTATACAGTACAGGTTTTACAGCAGCTTTACACTTATAGACAAGAAAATAGTAATTCAGTGATGCAAACAAAGAAAGAAGCTAAAAGAGATAATAGTAAACAGAATTCATATCCCAGCATACTGCAGTCTGCACCTACTAGAAGCACAGCATTATGGGAAGAGTCCGAGTGGAACAGTCAAGCCAATTATATTTCAATTATGTTTCAAAGCAGCTTCACTGAAAATCATGTTGTTACTGTGTATAATATCGTAGTATCTTCATGCATTATAGTTGCATGTAGCAGATTAGAGCTGGACGAGAATATAGTTACTTTTTGTGACAATATAAACAGTGTAGCAGATTGAACATCAGGTGTCTTTCATGTGGGGTTTTCTTTTATCTTGTGTGGTTTAGTTGAGGTTCAGCCTGTCCGTGCTTCATCTGTCTGATCTGATCAGATTCCTCAGAATGTGCTGAAATACGGTAGAGTTTGATGGGACACACGGCCGTTTCCCATGATGCAGTGCGACTGTGATTGTGATGGTTCAGATGATTCAGCTCCTGATTGTTCTCGGAGAGTGACTCATGGTGAAGGTCGCGCTGCGGTTCCTTCAGGAGCTCAGTGAAGTTCTCAGTGGCTGGATCTCCATTGATTATTCAGGAGCTGATCTGGAATCTGCTGTCGTGGATCTCGTGCTCGTTCCTCTGGCTGGTGTTTCTCCGCGTGATGCTGGTGTGTTGAAGGTGTGTGTGTGTGTTCCCGCTGTGGCTGTGAACAGATTGATGTTCCCCCGCCGCTGTGGGATTATCGGCTGCTTTAATCAAGAGAATATTTGTCGCCTCATCTGATGTTACCTGAAATAATGCCGCTTAAAGTCTAAAAATAAACCGCACTCATTACGTGGATTTGCCAGACTGAACGAACAGAACAGAGGGCTTTCTCAGGAGATTTAACTGGATCATTTGTGTTTTATAATGCTTTATTTTAATCTTCCACAGACTGATAATACAGAGGAGATTGGCTTCCGCTTCAGAACATTTAATGTAAATATCGCACTTTAACCAGTCGTACGTTACAATATATTTTTATATGATTTTTATGTTGGGGGTTCACGATGCTAGCCATAGTTTAGTTTTATATTTTCTCTCTGACTGTTTTTATGAACATATTTTTCAGCTTTATGATGTATTTCACATGATGTAGGCGGGTCATATGTTAATGAGCTCTGACATGATCGGTGTCGTTCACACGGTGTGGGCGGGTCATATGTTAATGAGCTCTGTTATGATCGGTGTCATTCACACGGTGTGGGCGGGTCATAAGTTAATGAGCTCTGTTATGATCAGTGTCATTCACACGGTCTGGGCGGGTCATATGTTAATGAGCTCTGTCATGATCGGTGTCGTTCACACGGTGTGGGCGGGTCATATGTTAATGAGTTGTCATGATCGGTGTCATTCACATGGTGTGGGCGGGTCATATGTTAATGAGCTCTGTCATGATCAGTGTCATTCACACGGTGTGGGCGGGTCATATGTTAATTAGCTCTGTCATGATCAGTGTCATTGTGTCATCAGTGAAATTGACTTTGCTTCATATTTGATGAAGTTTGCTTCACTGATTCTGTTGCTTTCCTGTTTATTTCTGTGAAAGTGTATTGTAGATCTCTATTGTATAAAGCGCTATAGAAACACGTGTGACTCGACAAGCTAGATGCAGCTCTGAATGAAACATGTGTTTGCAGGTGTTGGTCATGTGACCGCAGCACAGCACACCTGTTCTCTCCGCACTGTTTTAACAGCTTGTGTCTTCCTGTTTTCCAGAAAGTGACTGCTGTCCTCAGCCCATCTGTTTGCCTGCTCTTCACCTTCAGCCTCGGCCTGGTAAGACTGAATTAACTCAATTAAACGAGACGGTAATGAGCGGCGTCTGATCATCAGACGTGAGGCATTAGTGCGTTATGTGCTTTATCAGCATGTCTGTCTTCTGTCAGGATCTGCAGCCAATCAGACGCCAGCGCTGTTCATTAAAGCAACAGTTCACCCTAAAATCAGCACCGTTTACTCTCACTCGTGTCCTTCAGACCTGAGCTTGTTCTCTGGAGCTCAAAAGAAGATATTGCTTATATCAGACCCCAGTGACTTTCATTATATGGACAAAAAGCCTTTTGTGTTTCACTGAAATAAGTCGTACAGGTTTGAATGACATGATGGAGAGTAAATGATGAGAGAATGATGATTTTTAAGAAAATTGCCCTTTTAATTTTACATTTTAAATAAATGAGTGTTTTATGGTGCGTCTGAATCGAGTGCTCACTATGTAGGGGATGCCTGTGTCACATACTCATTTCTGCATACTACAGTATATAGTGTGTATCCTCTGCACAGCAAGCGTAGAGTAGCATACGGTTTACAGCAGAACACTATCCCACAATGCAATGCGCTCAACCTTCCATTTCCAGTGTGATCAGTGAACCGGAAGTGATTCTCTTTCTCGACTTGTTATTTGATCAGACTGATAAAAGTATTCTGACAAAAGTGTACTGAAAATATGTAATAACCAGGAAGATGCCTTGATGAGTCATGTGATGTAATGAGGTCATGTGACAGACAGTGTGTGGGGTTTCTTAACGTCTTACATTTGGTTTGATCACACAGATAAGTGATTATTATTAAACTTCAAAAGGCAATGATTGAGTTAATAAACATGAGTGCTGCTCGTTAGGTGTTAGAGCCGTTAAAGATGCACCTGTGATGAACCGACTGTTTACGTTATGGTTTTATATTATAATATGTTGCAGATGGTTGTAAGATGCACATTTTATGCATTTGTAAGCAGTGAAGCAGAGACATTTCAAATACGAGTCCTGCTGTATTTCAGGCTTGTTTATGATGAACAGTTCTCTCCTTTTTTCCAGGCTGCTGTTGGTATTTTGGTCACACAGTAAACAGTATCTGGCATTTAAATCAGTGTAATCTCTTGTATTTTCTCTCTGAACATTATTCATACAACCTTTCTTTAAATACATGATCATATCGACGGATCTCTGCTCCATGTGTATTTCAATATATGTGTATTCAGTTTCAATATAAATGTAAGTATTGCAGTATTTAAACTCGCAGATGCCCTGTTTAGTTCTGTGAGCCGCAGCCTGTTCAATTAATAAAAGAATTTAAGAGACCTGATTTATCTTGAGATGGTATGGGTTTGTGGTATTAATTTGATTTGTGCAGATGTGGTTTTAAACTCTGCAGATCGACACGGTGGCAGTCTTAGCGTGTGAGCAGAGCTCATGTTTAGCCGCCGCCTGCAAATGAAGGTTAATTGCTGGTCTTTGGAGATTGCTTTTGTTTAGGTTGAGAAGCTCTTCTGGGAAGACGAGGCCTCCGGTGAATCCGGCTCTATAAATACTCCCGTTCGGAGCGCCGCGGGCTGAACCAGGCCTATCCCGGGAAGAGTGTTGCCATGGAGATGAGCGCCGTCACCGCCGGCGACATCTGTATGAGCCGTGTTGATGAGAGCAGAAGAAACGACCTCGAGCGCCAGAATCCATGCGTTAGACGCTCTTATATCATCTCTTCAGATAAACGGGAATGACTGTGCCATATAAGTGCAGCTGCTCTGAGTTATTTACCCACGATCCTCGCTCTTTCTGTAAAAGGCAGTGTTCTATTTCTGTGGCTCTGCAAAATATTCCCTCTTTGTCCTCTCTTGCCTTATCTGCTGGCCTTTGGAGGACAGAATCCCTAATTTGCTTCTCCTGTTAGGTACATATTTGGGCAGAGATAACAGCAGGGAATTATGGAGGTCGTTCCTGGGCCGGAAACGGCCTTCAGACGCTATTATTAGCCTGCGGCGCGATGCTGCCGGACTCTCGCTGGTCTCCCGCTCGCTGACGGCTGGTTAGCTGAGTTTTCTCCATGTTTGGTCAAATGCGGATCTGCTGCTAATCCGCTGCCAGCCAGACGTCCATCTTCTGATGCTCTCGCCTGGTTTGATGGTGTGTGCTCATAATTAAGCTGATGTTTAATTGCACAGCGTCAGCTGCTCCTACAGAGGCAAGGCAAGTTTAGCACATTTCGTACACAATGGTAATTCACAGTGCTTTACATAAAAGAAAGTAAAATAATCATAAAAAAATAAAACAAGGAATTTAAAAACTCTGAAAATGACTTAAAAATTGATTTAAAATGAATTTAAGACAGTTAAAAACAGAAAATTATTATACATAAAATACAGCGCAATCAGTTCGGACGTAGCACAGTGCTCATTCAATAAATGCACAGCTAAACAGATGAGTTTTGAGTCTGCATTTAAATGTGACTAATGTTTTAGCACATCTGATCTCTTCTGGAAGCTGATTCCAACTGCGGGCGGCATAATAACTAAAAGCGGACTCCCCTTGTTTTGTGTGAACCCTTGGTATTTCTAACTGACTTGATCCTAATGATCAGAGTGGTCTGTTAGGTTTATATTCAGTGAACATATCTGCTATGTATTTAGGTCCTAGGCCATTGAGTGATTTATAAACGAGTAAAAGTACTTTAAAATCAATCCTAAATGTAACTGGAAGCCAGTGTAAGGACCTGAGGACTGGTGTGATATGCTCAGATTTTCTGGTTCTGGTCAGAATCCTGGCAGCAGCATTCTGGATGAGCTGCAGCTGTCTAATGGTCTTCTTGTGAAGGCCGGTGAGGAGACCATTACAATAGTCCACCCTGCTGGTGATAAAGGCATGAACAAGTTTCTCCAAGTCTTGACTGGAAACAAAACATCTAATTCTTGCAATGTTTTTGAGATGATAGTATGCTGATTTAGTTACTGCTTTGACATGACTACTGAAACTAAGGTCTGTCTCCCGAATCATACCAAGATTCTTGATTTTTAGTTGTTAGACCCCTAGAGTCAAGGTATGCATTCACCTTGAGAACTTCATCTTTGCTTCCAAACGCAGAGACTAGTTACAGCAGATCTGGGTGGGTAACCGGAAGACATAATGGACAGCAGAACTAGTTTATCATCTTCAACAGGTTTAGGAACTCAATGTCAGTTTATTTATAAAGCACCGTTTCAGACGACAGAGAGCTGAGAGGAATAAAAATATAGCAACATTAATAAACAAAACAAGCCACAGACGATAAACAGCAGGATTAATGTGGATCAAATTAATCTTCAGTTCATTAAAAGCCAAAGAAAATAAAGAAAGTCTTCTGCTAATGCTTGTGTTTATTGTGAGATTATCAGGGCTCATCTTGTCATCTGTCATTCAAGCTAAATACAAATGAACATGATCATTCTGTCATCACTTACTCACCTTCAAGCCTTCCTTCTGTTGAACACTAAAGAAGATATTCTGAGAAATGTGTTTTTTGTCCATATAGTGACGGTGGGGTCTGATATGGTTTGGCTCCTGATGTTCTTCAAAATATCTTCTTTTGTTCCCCAGAAGAAAGAAAGTCATGTTTGAATGATGAGTAAATGATGACAGAATGAATTAATCCTTGTTTGGCTGATCATGAATGACAGAGAGTATATCAGTGATCAATATCAGTATTGCAGTGACCTTTGACCTTCTGCGCTCACATGTAAACATCTCTGAGCAGATCGTCCAACGCTGATCGGACGCGCGTCTCTTCTGAGTGAGATGCAGAAGTTTCTTGAGCTGCTGTGAGGGTTTGAGTCTGGCCTGCAACGCCTTCCTGCTGTCTCACTGTTTCTGTTTGACATGGAGTGTGTGTGTGTGTGTGTGTGTGTGTGAGAGAGAGTGTGAGTGTGTGTGTGTGTGTGTGTGAGAGAG